AAAAAAAAAAAAAAAAAAAGTAGACATTGTTACATAGGAAAACTCATATTTACACTTATCATTAAGAATTCTCTAAGTTAATTAATTCAACAATGCTTACACGAACTCCTATAAGTCATCTGGCCCTGTGCCTGGTATCTGGGCTATAGCAACTCAAGCCACAAGGGCTAACTGGTTTGTTTGTTTCTTTGTTTTATTTATTTTTTTTTAGAGATGGAGTTTTGCCATGTTGGCCAGGATGGTTTGGAACCTCTGACCTCCAGTGATCCACCCACTTTGGCCTCCCAAAGTGCTGGGATTACAGGCGTGAGCCACTGCGCCTGGCCCTTGTTTGGAAGGACTGTGAGTGACTGATATTTTGAAATACAGATATTAAATAAGAAAATGTAATATTCATCTTTTGAATCTATTCAGCTATGACATCATACTACCATCTCCACTGTGTATGAGATGATTGCTATCCTGGATCATTGCTTATGTTTCTTCATTACTTCTGAGGACTTTTAAAAAATAATTTGGCAGTTTATTAGTATGTTTGAATCAACACCCTTCTTCCTTTTTAACCTCTAGTTCAGGAATGAACTGGAGGTTAAAAAGGAAGAAGGATGTTGATTCAAAGCCTTCTTCTATGTAAAGGTGATCATAGTGAAAGAAAAAATGATTGCTTGAAGTCTATTCTCGTGCAATTCTATGATTACATAGGAAGTTAACCTCCACAAGTTTTAAAAAACATTAATATTTAAAAGTGGCACCCTGAACATTTAGATAATGCTGAAGAGGAAGATTAATATTAGATAAAGAACAAAAAGAGGCTGAGCCTGGTAGCTCACGCCAGTAATCCTAACAGTTTAGGAGGCTGAGGCAGGCAGATTGTCTGAGATCAGGAGTTCGAGACCAGCCTGATCAACATGACAAAACCCTATCTCTACAAAAAAAAAAAAATTGGCTGGTTCATGGTGGAGCGCGCCTGTAGTCCCAGCTACTAGGGACACTGAGGCAGGAGAATCACTTGAATCCGGGAGATGGAGGTCGCAGTGAGCGGATATCGTGCCACTGCACTCCAGCCTAGGTGACGGAGAGAGTCTCTGTCTCCACAAAAAATAAAAAAGAAAGAAAGAAAGAAAGAGGAATTTGGTACTGAACAATCTGTACTAAATCTGTAGTATTAGAATTCTGGGAATTCACATTTCAAGTATATGACAAAAAGATTCTCTTTTGAAATACATATTAATTCATTTGATAGATATTTATTGGGGGCTACTAGATATGGGGTACTATTCTCAGGGTAATAGGTACATGCAGGCAGATGCAGAGAAAACAGGATTAGATTTCAATTGTGTGACATGGATTACTTCTGGTGATTAGGTTTATAAAAATGCTCTGTCTTCCCATATTTCCTGATTTTTCGGTAGTTGGTATACTGTTTGATAATTAAACTATTTGAGTGATCTCTGAACGCTTACACATTTTACTTTTTGCATTTGAAACCCTTGTAAGCTCTGGGTAGTGGAAGGAACTCACCCTTGGCCATGTACTCAGTGATGATGTAAATAGGCTCCTCCCTGGTGACCACGGCGTAGAGCCTCACCAGCTTGTCATGCTGCAGAGTCTTCATGAGGTTGGCTTCTTCCAGGAAGGCTTGCACAGACATCGTGCCCGGCTTCAGGGTTTTCACAGCCACCTTGGTACTGTTGTTATAATAACCTAGGAAGAAAAAAGAAGGTGGGGCATGCTTTATAAAACAGAAAATGTAAAACTTCACTTTGCAGACGCAGAGTTAGCAGAAAATTTAATTACAGATTAAAAAAATCTTTAGTTACTGGGTGCTGTAGCTTATGCCTGTAATCCCAGCACTTTGGGAGGCCAAGGCGGGCACATCACCTGAGGTCAGGAGTTTGAGACCAGCCTGACCAACATGGAGAAACCCTGTCTCTACTAAAAATACAAAACATAGCTGGGCATGGTGGCGCATGCCTGTAATCCCAGCTACTCGGGAGGCTGGGGCAGGAGAATTGCTTGAACCCATGAGGCAGAGGCTGCAGTGAGCTGAGATTATATCATCACACTCCAGCCTGGGCAACAAGAGTGAAACTCTGTCTCAGAAAGAAAATAAAAGACCTGCATTAAACACTACGTAAGTGATAAAATTAGGGGAGGCTAGATGAAAAGTATCTAGGAATTTTCTTTTTTTACCAAAAAATGCTTAAATTATTCAAAAATCAAAACGTTTTTATGAAATGATAGTAAAAAAAGTTTTCATTGGTACTGCACCATGAGGACTAATATTTTTCTTTTTTCGAAGATTGAATCTTGCTCTATTGCCCAGGCAATGCAGTGGCACGATCTTGGCTCACTGCAATCTCCACCTCCCAGGTTCAAGCGATTCTCATGCCTCAGATTGTTGAGTACCTGGGTTTATAGGTGCCCACAACCATACCTGGTTAATTTGTGTATTTTTAGTAGAGATGGGGTTTCACCATGCTTGCCAGGCTGGTCTGGAACTCAAAGTGCTGGGATTATAGGCAGGAGCCACAGTGCCCAGCTAAGGACTGATATTTTTCTCTAATAATAAAATGTTTTTTATTCAAGACAAAAAAACAAACCTCTATATCTGCTATAATCACTTACATACGTATACATACACACACAGGCATATGTTCACATTATAATCCCCATTTTAAAGTACGGGCATATTTTATACATATACAGACACACACATATAAATAATGGTCTGGAAGAAAAGACCAAAATACACCAAATGCTGGTTAGTTCCAATGGTGTAATTATGAGTGATTTAATTTGTTCACCATATCTTTAACTATTTGCCAAATTTTCTTTTAAAAAGACGTTATTTATAAAAATTACTTACATGAACTAAATTTTAAGTACAATATGATAGAGTTAAATAAGTACTTCCCAAGGTTTGCAGACAACTGGACTTGAAAAAGGATCCCCCACTGAAAGGATGGGGAGCCCCTCCCTCCACTCCTCCCTCACACAAAAGATACAGCAGGTGCCTTGGAAGGCCTTCAGGGGAAAAGCCTGTATTTGCTCACCCAGCATTTCCCACACTTTCTTGACCTCAGAACGCTTGTTCAAGTAGCTTCTCACACCACGTGGAACACACTCTGGGCAATACTGACTCCTTAGTATCGTCCCCCTGAGGCAACACCCTTCTGGGACTGGGATTGAGCAATTTGATCTTGACTTTCTCTTGGGAAAGCATTTTCTCAGTAATTTGGCAAAGCAGAAATATTAATAATTATATTCTTCCTTCCTTTCCTCTCTTCTGTTTCCATATTTCTCTTGGAAATGCAAAAAAAAAAAAAAATATGTGTTTGCATGCACATTCACACACAGATTTATAAAAATCATTCCATTAAATGCAATAGACCACTCAATGCTAAAGAGTTAAAAAAAAAAAAAAAAAAAAACATTGCACTCCAGCCTGGGCAACAAGAGTGAAACTCTGTCTCAAAAAAAAAAAAAAAAAAAAAAAAAAAATGGGGAGAAGGAAGTAGCAGCTGGCGGGGCCACTGAGAATCTCCCTGCAGGCTCTTGCTGTCTGGTGCACAACAGCTGCATAGCACCTGCCCTAGGGAAAGGGGACGTGGAGTGGATGGTCCCCTTTTTAGGGGCAAGAATATCTGTATGTGAAATCGTAGAAAGATGACCGGAAGCCTGCTGAGTAAAATATTAGCAGTGATTATCCCTAGCTGGTAGAATTTGAAGTGACTTCTACTTTCTCTTGTTCTTTTCTATTCGGATTATATTTGTCCATGAGTATGTACTTTTTCTTTCTTTCTTTTTTTCAGGAGAGACAGGGTTTTGCCATGTTGGCCAGGCTGGTCTTGAACCCCTGATCTCAGCTGATCTGCCCGCCTCGGTCTCCCAAAGTGCTGGAATTATAGGCATGAGCCACCATGCCCAGCCAAGTATGTACTTTTTCATAAAATGATTTTTTAAAATAATAAAGAAATGTACTATGTATCTAATTCTAAGCCTTCAAACAGGCAAGAAAAAGTCTTCATTCATAGCTGGCTCTCAACCCCACCCAGTGATATTTCTTCTGGTCATTAAGACTGATTCATCTGTTAAAATGTTCTCTTTTGTATTCCACTTTGGTTAATACTTAGCAGCTTGCAGTGCTCTATAGAAAAATAAGGCTAGGCAAGGTGGCTCATGTCTGTAATCCCAGCACTTTGAGAGACAGGAGGATCACTTGAGCCCAGGAGTTCAAGACCAAGGTGGACCCATCTCTAAAACAAAACAAAGNAAAAAAAAAAAAAAAAAAAAAAAACCATCCTAGGTCCTTTTAAAAAGCCACCAACTGCCTAAAATAGTGGAATTATGAATATATTAAATTGATCTGCCATCTAAATGCATAATTAAAAGAAATATGGCCTTTTCTATAAAGCTTAAGGTTATTGTAAAGTACATTCCACCAACAAAAGGCTTTTAATGTTATAGTTAAATCAAAAAGGTTTCATAAAAATTTTTTAGTTTATAAACCCTAACCCTAACCCCAGCCCTAACCCTAACCCTAAGTTATATGAGCATGTTCATAGCAAATCATAGCAGGAAAAGACATGATATAAAATACACGAAAATACATAAAATACATGATACATGTAACTGCAAGGAAATGGCATCCAGTATATATAAAGAATTCTTACAAATCAATAAGAAAAAGAGAAAAAATAGGCAAAGGCTTGAATGGGCATTTCAAAAGAAGAAATTCATATGAGTAATAAACATGTGAAAGTGCTCAGTCTTATTAGTAATCAGAGACATGCAAATAAAGTCATGAGAAATCACTGCCGAGCTTAGCAAAAATTTTTAAAGTCTGGCAATATCAAGTGCTGGTGAGCACCTGCCCCTTGGGAGGGACGCTGGAGCAGCTGTCCTAGGCCCCATTCTGTGTTCTTTGCTGAGCATCACTGAAATTCAATTGCAGAGCTTCTGTGACAGTATGCAAGGGGCCCATGAAGGATGCTGAGTACACACTTCCTTCTGGGTAACCACCCACCGGCTGTGCTGCCTTGGGGCCCATATCTCTCTAAATACAGCTCTCCTAGTCAGAAAAGGGGACATGGGGACTGGCATACATTGCTAGTGAGAATCTAAGCTGGGACTGGCACTTTGGAAAACAAGTTGGCCGCACTTAGAAGAGCTGAAGTTTCACACACCTTATGATCCAGCAAATCCACTCCCACTCACCCTAGAGAAACTCATGCACGCTTGGACCAGCACAAAAATGTGCAGCACATTAGTCATAGCAGCTCAAACTGTGAACAATTCTGATACAGTTGGATGTTTGTCCCCTCCAAATCTCATGTTGAAGTTTGATCCCCAGTTTTGGAGGTAGGGCTTAGAGGGTGGTATCTGGGTCAAGGGAATGAATCCCTCATGAATGGCTTGGGGCTATCCCCATGGTAATGAGTGAATTCTCGCTCTATTAGTCCAGGAGAGAGCTGGTTGTCTAAAAGCAGAGCACCTCCTCCTGTGGTTCTCTTGCTCTCACTGTGTGACATGCTCGCACCCCTTTGCCTCTCACTGTGTGACATGCTCGCACCCCTTTGCCTTCCTTTATGAGTGGAAGCTTCCTGAGGCCTCGCCAGAAGCAGGGGCAGGTGCCATGTTCCTTGTACAATCTGCAGAACCATGAATCCAATAAACCTTTTCTTTATAAGTTACCCAGTCTCAGGTATTCCTTTAACAAAGCAAAATGGACTAACGTGGACTCCAATTTTTATCAGTAAACAGTGAAATAAATGGATAAACAATCGCATATCTTGAAAACACATGTAGCACAGCATGATATGGCATGAAGATGAATAAACCGTACCCACACCCAAAAGCACGGATGCATCTCACCAACAAGACCTGGGATGAAGATGAATGAATCGTAGCCACACCCAAAAGCATGGATGCCTCTCACCAACACTGTAAGGCATAAAGATGAATGAACTGTAGCCACACCCAAAAGCATGAATACATCTCACCATGTTGAGTAAAAGAGGCAAGATATAAAAGAGCACATTTGGTATGATTCATTCATACAAAGTTCAAAAACAGGTAAAACTGAGCCATGTTTTGAGGGGGATGCATACATCCCCATATATGAAAGTGGGAAAATTACGAAGAAAAGTCAGAAAAACATCAGGAAGGTTGGAATAGCTGTTGTCTCTGGGGGACAGGTAGGGTGTGGGTGGGAGGGGATGGGTGGAGGGTGGGGGATTCTGGGGCTAGCAAGTTTCCTCTGAGGTCGGCACACCAGTTTTTGCTTTGTAATTATTTGTGAAATTAGATATTTGTGTTTGCATTTTCTGTCTGCTTGTTACATTACATAGCAATAAAAGTTAAAAGAAACAAAACCATTTCCCTTTTGCCATCATAAAAACAATGGAGCTCACGGAGACTCTTATACAATAGAAAAAGATGAGTAAAGGATGAAGGAAAAAAAACGTTTTGCAAGGTTAGGGGGGAAAGTTATCAGGAAATATTGCAGTTGCAGATATTTTAAATACTGATAAGGAGTTTGAGATGAGTGGTGGATAAAACAGCTGTGTAAAACATGGCTGAAGAACGGCAGCGGCTCCCAGATGATCTCTTAGGGGCTCTGACATTGAAACAATAGGGTGGTTTTCTTTTTTCTTTCTTTTTTTTTTTTTTTTTTGAGACGGAGTTTCGCTCTTGTTTAC